CGCGGGGCTCCCTCGGCACTGACCCCCCGACAGCGCGGGGCTCCCTCAGTACACCATTGATAGGGGTAGGAATCGGGAATGGGAGCAGTTGCTCTGAAGACCTTTGGCCTGTGGATGGTGTTCCCCGCCCCCAGGATGACGGGTCCATTTTACCGGTTGTCAAACATCAAACTCCCCAGAGATCCGTGCAGCAGCGTGTAAGGAACTGCCCAATCGGGGAGCAAACTTCGCCCGTCCCCCATCACCTTGCCCCGCTTACCCGCCACTCCATCCGTCTCTCCGACTACCTCCCGCCACCCTTGGTACTCGGACTGATTTCAGGGCGGACACTCGGGCCGGAAACGGAAAGTCGCCGCAAGGAAGGAAGAAATCTCGCTTGAACAAAGGTTCCGGCCTCAGGAGACCACGGCATCGCTCGCCCCGACCTCAGAGGGCCCCGCCTACTGTCCGCGCCCACGGCGGACCCGCCCACTCACCAGCTCCACCCCCTGACCACGCCCGCATTGGACCCGGTCACCAACCCCGCCCCCTGACCACACCCACAACGGTCCCGCCCTTCACCGGCTCCGCGCCTTTGCCACGCCTACCTTGGACAAAACCACCAGCCACGCCCACAAATGTCCCGCCCCTCACCGGCTCCGCGCCTTGGCCACGCCCACAACGACACCCACTTCTCACGGTCACGCCCATTCCCCGCCCTCTACCACGCCCCCTTTAACCGGCCCCTCCTCCTCCTCCAGCCCATTCCTTCACCCCCATTCTCAATTCTCATATTCCAAACATCTTGTCACCCTTCCCCCCCCCCCCCCCCCCCTAGCATACACTATGATGAAGCTAGGGTTCAGACTTCAACTCACGTTTTGCAAAGTGCCTGCTCAGCTAGGATGGGCTGAATGGCCTCTTGCACGGTATCAGGTAAAGGGACTTACCGCTAATCACCAATGTCTGGTTATGCCACAGCTGGAGTACTGTGTGCAGTTCTGGAATCCACATTATAAGAGGGATGTGATTGCCCTGCAGAGGGGATTTTGTCAGAATGTTCCCTGGGTTGGAGAGTTTTAGTTATGAGGAGAGATTGGACAAACTGCAATTCTTTTCCTTGGAGCAGAGGAGACTGAGGTGGGACATGGGAGATGTATAAAATTGTAACATTAATGGGGATATGAGGAAATATTTTTTCATCCATAGGTAGTGGAAATCTGGAAGGCACTGCGTGTGAGGTTGGTACCGGCAGAAACCATTTTGGAAGTATTTAGATGTGCACTTGCAATGCTAAGGCTTATAAAGCTATAGGCCACGTGGTGGAAATGGGATCAGAATATTGACTGAGATAGACTTGATGGGCTGAAAGATCTTTTTCTGTGCTGTAGATGTTTATGGCAGTATGACTCTTAGGTCACTTCAGTTGAGAACACCGACACATATTTTGTGATGTGTTTTCTCGAACTGGTGTTTTTAATTGCAAAGTAATAAAATGCAATGTATGAAGGGCCAATTCCTTCAGTCTGTGAATTCAAATTCACAGAGCAGCAGTTTGGCAAGAATGTTAAAAAGTCACATGGGGGAGAGGGAATGGCTGAATGCTTGAGTAAGGCCGGGTGAGTATTTATACTATTTTTATCACATAGTTTGTAAGGTCTTTATTTTTGGTTTGTAATTTGTAATGGCAATAGTGCAGAGGTCCAGAGAAGACGCACTCAAGAGTAATTAATATTTGATTTTAAGGTTAATCTGAGAGTTTAAAGGAGTAAGACATGGGAGGAGAGCTCAAGAACGTGGTATTTTTCTCCTGCTCTTTGTGGGAATTTGGGCACAACCCTAGTGCCCAGGACCAGAACGTTTGCATGAACTGTCCCCAGTTGCTGCTCCTGGAATCCTGAGTTTGGGGAGATGGAGCAACAACTGTGGACACTGTGGAGCATTTGTGAGGCTGAGGGTGTTAGAAATAGTATGTACGGAGAAGTGGTCACTCTGCAGGCTAGGACTTCACAGGCAGGGAGGGAACAGATGACCATCAGGCAGGGAAAGTAAACTAGGCAGGCAGTGCAGGAATCCCCTATGACCACTCCCCTACAAAAAAGATATACCACTTTGGATGCTGTTGAGGGTGAATGCCTGTCAAAGGAAAGTAGCAACAGCCAAATTCATTACACCACAATTGGATCTGTTACAAGGGAGAAGAGAAGTAAGTGCAGGATAGCTATAGTAATTGGGAATTCAATTGTAAGAGGAATAGATAAACATTTCAGTGATTGCAAACGAGACTTCAGGATAATATGTTGCCTCCCGGGTGCAAGGATAGGGAGGTCTGCAGAATGTCTGTGGGACATAGAGTAGCAGGGTGATCTGTTATGGTACACATTGGCACTAGTGACATAGGTGAGTAAAGGATGACGTCTTAAAAGCAGAATAGAAGGAATTAGGAAATAAGTTAAAAGGTTGAAAAAGGTAGAGATTTCAGGATTGCTACCAGTGCCCCCACATGCTAGTGGTCAGAGCAGAAATAGCCAGATATTTCAGATGAATATATGTCTGGAGAGATGGTTTGCAGGGTGAGTTTTAGATCCCTGGAACACTAGGACCTGTTCTGGGGGGAAATGGGACCAGTACAAACTGGACAAGTTGTACCTAGGTGTGACCGGCACTGATGTCCTTGGGGGAGTCTTTGATAGTGTGATTGACACAGATTTCAACTAAAAGGGCAGGAGGATGGGAACCTACACAGGGAGACAGAAAATAAGGAAATAAGAGCAAATACAAAAGACAGATATGGGAAACAAGAAAGGTGACAGGCAGAGAGTTCAAGGGCCAGAATCAAACAAGGCCACAGTGCAAAATAATACAAACAGGACTAAAAATGTTAAAAAAAAAGCCTTGTGTCTTAAAGCATGGGAGCATTCGCAATAAAGTGGATGAAATGATGATGGAAAAAAACATAAATTGTTATAATTTAGGTGGGATTCCAGAGAAGTGGTCACAGGGTGAACAGGGATGAGAAGTGAATACCCTGGATGGGTTTCTGGTTCTCAAGGTAAAGTCTCCATATAGTACTACCAGACCATAGTGCTGCTCTCTCATTAGCTCAGGGTCACCACAACTTGGATGAGAAGAAAGGTTGAGAAGGAGAGTCCTTCATGGTAACCTCAAATGGTGTGAGAATTGAACCCATGCTGTTGGCATCAACCTGTTTTGCAAACCAGTAGTCCAACCAACCAAGCTAAATGGCCCCCAACTGGATCAATACATTGAGGAGCCAACCAGAGAACAGGTTATCCTAGACTGGTGCCACTGATCTGGCTGCTTCTGTTGCTTTCCCCTTAAGAGGCCACTCCCCTAACTCTTGCACTGCCTGCCCCACCTGGCAGTCATCCATCTATTTGGTTGAACCTTTGGTGTGACCACATTGCTGAAGCTCCTGGATCTAAAACTTTCTGCCTCCTTCCTGCTCCTCAGTGTGTCGAACTGCCATTTCAACCGATCCATGTGGTCTGAGAGGAGCTACAGGTGGACACACTTCCTGCAGACATAGTTGTCAGAGACATTTGACTTCTCCCTGATCTCCCACATCTCACAGGAGGAGCGTATCACTCCACTAACTGCTATTAATACACCTAGTAACTATTGGATCAAATTAAAAGCGAAGAACTTATCTGGCCATACGTTAATGGTGCCTGCTCTCCTCAGCAAAGCCAATGCTCACCAAAACTTGCACTTTGATCTCAACAGAAGCACTTAGACCTCACAACTCGTCTTCAAAAACACCACTCGCAAAATAGCTCTCTCTAGGATGTTCTTCCTCCTGTTGAGCACCAGGTCCTCCATAATCCCCTTTTCAGTTGTGGTGAGAAAGCCAACTTCTTCTAGAATCCGGTTATAGGTTCTAGAATACTTCCTATGGATTAGAGGCTAGCTAATGTAAACTACAGGCTGGAAGAATACAGGAAGCCAGGCAGCATCTGGAGGAAAGGAGAAGTCAACGTTTCAGGTATTACCCTTCTACAGGACTGGATGTGGGGGCAGGGGGAGCTGCAGTTAAAGAGAGGGAGATAACAGAATGGTGGTGATAGGTGGACACCGATAGTAGGTATGACCTGGTTGGTCGACGGGAGGGCTGAATCTGGTTGGTGGCTGGAAGGGTGGGTCAGATGGTGGAATGGAAGGGAGGAGTTGGGGCTGGAAAGGGAACCAGGGGATGCGTGGGAAGGTTATTTGAAATTGGAGAACTCAATGTTGAGTCCTCCGGCCTGTAGAGTGCCCAGGCAGAAGATAAGGTGTTGTTCCTCAAGTTTGCGTTCTGAATCACTGCGACACTGGAGGAGGCTGAGGACTGATATGTCGGAGTGGGAGTGGGATGAGGAGTTGAAATGGGCAGTGACCGGGAGATTAAGTTGGCCATTACAGGCCAGGTGGTAATGCTCGGCAGGACGGTCACCTAGTCTACATTTGGTCTCACTGATGTAGAGAACACCACAACAGGAGCACCGGATGCAATAGACTAGGTTGGAGGAGATGCAGGTCTCACATGAAAGGTCTGTTTAGGGCCCTGGATGGAGGTGGTGTGGGGGCAGGTGTTGCATCTTTTACAGTTACAGGGGAAGGTACCGGGCGGGTTGGAGTGGTTGGCGGGGAGTGTGGCGTGAACGAAGGAGTGGTGAAGGGAATGGTCCTTGCAGAAGGCAGAGAGGGTTGGGGAGTGGAAGATGTTCCAGGTAGTGAGGTCTAATTAGAGTTGGTGGAAGTGTTTGAGGATGATACGTTGGATGCAGAGACTGGTGTTGAAAGTGAGGACAAGGGGGACCCTATTTTTATTATGTTTGGCGGTGGTAGTTTGGAGGATGGACCCTTATGTCGCAGAGGCCGAACGCCAACTCTCTGACACCTACCTCCCCCTTGACCATGATCCCACCATGGCCCATCAAGCCACTGTCTCCCCCACTGAACATAACCTCATCACTTCCGGTGACCTTCCTTCCACCGCCTCCAGCCTTATAGTTCCCCATAGCCCCGCACTGCCCGGTTCTACCTGCTCCCCAAGATCCACAAGCCAAACTACCCCGGCCGACCCATCATCTCCACATGCTCCTGCCCCTCCGAACTCATCTCTTCATACCTTGGCTCAATTCTCTCCCCCTTCGTCCAGGCACTCCCCACCTACATCCGAGACACAAACCACGCACACCACCTCTTTGGTAACTTCCAGTTGCCTGGCCTCAGCGCATCATCCTTACTATGGACATTCAATCCCGATACGTGTCCATACCGCACAAGGAGAGCCTGCAGGCCTCAGTATTTTCCTCTGCAACACACCCATCCAGATCCCCCCCCCTCCATCAATACCCTCCTTTGCCTCGCCGAACTAGTCCTCACCCTCAATAATTTTTCCTTCAATTCTTCCCACTTTTTCCAAATCCAGGGGTTTGCCACAGGCA